AGATTTTTTTTTTTTTTTTTTTGTCTCTTAGCATCCGTACTAATTTAAAAAACTTATAGAATAAAGCAGAAAGAACCCCAATTTATACTTATAGATTAATGTCAACTATATAGAAATGTATGAAAAAAGACAAGAAGGAAATGTGCTGGAAATGAAGATTCTAAAAGTTAGCAACAGTTGACTGCCTTGTAAGGATAAGGGAATTAAAAGTCAGGCTGTGTTTTCCAATCTATACATCATAAAGTAAGTGGAATGCAATACAAGGAAACGAATGAAAGTTAATCAAGTTTCTGTGGCTTTTTGAAGTCCAATGGCCTGAAAAAGATTTAGGTCACTAACACTTCTGTGAAAGGCTCTCTCACAGGCGGTGGCTACACCTGGGGAGGAATCCTTTCGTGTCTCACGATGGTGTGGACAGGGCTGTGGCTGCCTGGAGGGCAACGCCACTACCCAGGCTGTTTCCCCTTGGTCTCGGCCTCTGCCCTATAAAAGGACAGCAGTGTAAGGAGGTTGCAGCTCAGGTGGTGAGGGAGGGAAGGGGACAGGGGACGCCATTGCTTCGCAGGCCGGTGTAACTCTGATTCAGTTTTGTTTTGTTTCGTTTTGGTTCATTTCCCTTTTTTCTCATGTTTAAAATATTAGAGTCAAAAGTAATCCGTGGAGTTAACGTTATAGGTTTTTGTAGCCTGGATTTCTCTAAGATACTGGGATCTTTTAAAGGACAAGAGATCATTTAAAAACAGTCTCTGTAACATCTCCCAGCTCCTGCTCTAAGATGAGACGGCATTTAAATGTCACATTAAAAGGAACTCTGGCCCTGCCTCAGAACTACTCGATTTCCCCATCTGGTCCTGTGCCTAGCCAGCCACATGGCCTCACAGAAACTGTTTTGCTGTCGTGGGGAGTTTCACAGCTTTACAAAGCGAGGGTTTCCTGGGATCACTGGAGCTCTGGAGCTCCCTGGCTCCACAGGAAAGCTATGACCCTGAGGAATCAGCTGTGCCTTTCCCTGAGGACTGCTAGCTGACTGTTTCAGCTGACTCTTCCATGGGGTGATAATCTAGGTACCGCGATGGTGAACCTTTTAGTGACCGAGTGGCAAACTGCAACCCAAAGCCCACATAGTGATCCCAAGTGCCAGCTCTGCAGTCCAACCCAAATGCTGAGGTCTTAGTTTAGAAAACAAACATACAAATAAAAACTACCATCCAGTGCTTGGCTGCTGAGGCAACTCTTGTGCCAAGAGAGAGGGTTCCGTGTGCCCACTGTGGCACCCAGGCCATGGGTTTCACCACCACTGTCTAGGACCATTAGGGCCATGCTGGCCTCCTGGGCTCCTCGGGCCAGGTGCGTTGGGCCCCTCCCTGAGTACCACTGAAGGTGCTCACTCCCCTCGGGCTGTCCTGGGCAGAAGAGGGTCCTGCGCTCCCCCTTCCTTATCTGAGTCAGAGGGAGCTGTGGACAGACTCAGTCTGTCTGGCAGCCGGACAGTGTGACCATCTTCTTTCCAAGCAATCTGGAGACCATTGTGTCACTTCCTGGGGGAGAGAGCCTGCGGGGCTTCGTGCTGGTGACGGTTCTGGTGGAGAAGGCAGCAGTGCCTGGAATTAAGGTATCTTCTTACTGTGCGGTGTGGTCGTCCTTCCACGTGAGAAGGCAGCCTGAGCTCCCCTTCCCTTCCAGTCCTTGCCCTTGTAGCACACGGACTTAGGTCTAATCCTGCCCTGAGTTCATCTCACAGTGAAAGCTCCCGTCCTGCCGCAAACCTTGGAGTGGACGGTGGGGAGTCAGGGCACACGAGACATCGTCCAAGCCTAGAGGCTCACGATCTCATAGAGGGAAATGAACTGGTGTAAAGGGCAGAAAGGTGCCGTGTTGCACACGTGACATTCCAAGACTTCACCCGGACTTGAAGGGCGAAAGACTCCCCAGAGAAACAGCAGCTAAGCTAAGGCCCGAGTGATTCACAGGCGGGAGAAAGAGGGGCGGAGACCAGAGAGGAGGGAAGACTGAGATTTCTGCTAGAGAAGACTGCTCTGCAAAAGTTTGGAGGAAAATAAAATGGAAAGCATTTGGCACTAGAAGGTGTCACTGAGATGACGCAGCCGTAGGTTGCAAACTAAAGTTTTTGAGAAATTGTCCTGGTACCAGACGGGCCAGATGTAAGGCAAGAGACTGGAGCCGACTGACCAGCTGGAATATCTATGCTTTGCCCGAAGATATGTCAGGTGCTTGCCTTTCCTCAGCACCTTCCTGCTGAGCGTGTACTGAGTGCCCGCTGTGTCCTCAGCAAGGCCACCGGTCCCCACCTTCGGAGCACCATTGCCTTCAGTCTTGAAGTGAAGCCAGGGGTTGCAGTGCGTGCTCAGCATGCCCAACTGCCAGCGCCCCGTCCACCCCAGAAGTGAATCGTACGGCTTCTTTAGCTCTCCTCCCTGTGTCTACCTCAAGAGAGTGTAAAACAAAATCCTCAGTGCAGTTCAGTGCAGAGACAGCTGGGAAAGGAGGCTCTGTAGTGGAGGAGGCTCTGGGGTTGGGGATCTTTCGGAGAGAGGGATTGCCCTAGTTAGAGATGCAGAAGTAGAAAAGGTCATGTAACGTGTGATGAATCCAGAAAAAGGATGGAGAAGCATGATGACCTTCTCTGAGCAGTACAGGAAGTAGCAGTGGGTGGAAAGACCGCGGGGAGACCCTGACCCTCCGCCCACCTCATGCAGATCTAGTTCAGCAGCGGACCTGGACCTCTGCAGCCAGGGGCCGCCCTCCCTGGGGTCCAGTCCCCTAGGTCTGAGCCGGTAATGATTCTACCCCCAGGCCCTTACTCAAGCGACCAATGCCATCCTGCAGCCCAACGAGGACACCCTGCTCAAAGCCTTGCAGCGCCTGAGACTCTCCATCCAGGACATCACTAGGACCTTGGGGCAAATGCACGGTGCGTTACCCTGGAAGGACCCGGTTCGGAAGGGCTCCTTTCCGGTTCGGAAGGCCCGGAGCCGGCAGCCTCCTGAGTGGTGATAATACGTTTGTCCTCTAGGTGGCAGGAGTGTATCACCTTTGATTTAAGGTAAACTAATTTGCTATTCAGGCCATCAGAGAATGCTCTCGGGCTATGGAGATAGATATTTTGGCAATTTGTTCTTTGTGTTTTGCTGTGATTCCGCTCTTGGGGGAGACATTTCTTTGGAGTGCTGAGGTCTTGCTGAAGTTGGGAGGAGAGGCCAAGCCGGCCCCATCACAGTGGTTCTGAGAGCTCCAGGCAGGGCCACCCGGAGGGAACCCTCTTTACTCCCTCCGGTGTCTTGTATTTTCTCTTTCTCTGTCCGCTCCTGACGGGACTGACCTTGGCTTCCCATGGCTAGGCCGGCAGGACCTGTCATAGACGTGGTCAGTTCACCGGTCCCCTGTTGACTGGGTTTTACAGTCAGTGTCCGGCGTCCGGCAGGCTCCCCGACGCCCTCTGTGGGAGAAATCGACAAACCATGCTGGGGTTTTCAGGAAAGTTTGGACCGGGGATGAGACCCATTCGCCAGAGAAGAGTAAGTCTCAGTATCCCGTTCCTGAATTCCACTCCACTGAAAGGCGGAGAGTTTCTGAGAAAGGGAGCCTTCCCTGGAAGCAGGGTAGGAGAGAGGCGGCCAGAGAGCAGGTGTCTCCGGAGTTGTGTGTACCGGGCACCCCAGACTGCACTGGGGGAACCCACCCGGATTATGTGTCATTTCCAGGCAGCTTCCCTGCTTTGCAGTTGACATTCCTGATTTCTCCATTTTCTGAAATTTTATCCTAAATCTCCTCATGGTCACCTCAGTAGTGACGAGATTGAGTTCAGCTGTGCCAAGTCACCCTGACTTCACGACTCAGCACAGGTCATGGGACCCTGCGATGAGCCCTGTGCATGGTTTCTGGAGGTTGTGACGGATTTCCCACCCTGAGTGGTGCAGGAAGTCGGCACACGAGTGTTAGTGCTGAGGGCTTTCCAGTTGTCATTTCTGGGTCACTTTGCAAGCTCAGGGCGACTCTCCCTGCTGTCCTAATCGTCCTCTACAGGAGGGCTGATGGCCTGAGGAGGTCCTAGGGACACCAGAGGTGAATATTCCACACAGTCATACTTTGTTGGAAAGGTTCTTACTACCTGTCAGGTTCATCTATACGGTAACAAGGCAGGTGCGAACGCACTTTCTAAAGATGGCCGCAGCACTCTCCCCCCCGTGCCACTCCATGGGCTCCTGCACAGTGTGCCTGGCCACCCTGCATGTCCTGGGCGAAATCTGGGTCCCTGCTGTGACAGGAGGCAGCCTGCTCCCAACTTGTACGGAGGCCACTGCGCTGCGACACAGAAAGGTCAAGCGGGGACTCTGGGGGCACTGCTGCAAGGACACGAGGCTCTCGGGATCCTGAAGCTCGAGGTCAGGCTGCCCTCAGTATTGGGGCCTTTGCAGCTCTGCCTCAGGATCCATGGAACAGAGACAAAGAGCCTGGCCCCGAGGTGGGAGGGGCTTGTTAGGGTGCAATAGTGACCACAGACTCAGGTCATAAAAATAAATTAAAATAAACTCTACAAGACACAAGGCTTGCGGAACCATGCACAGTTTCTTAGAATAGCTGTGGTTCATAGCCATTAACTTTCCTCTCCATGATACAGAGAGCTCGACTAGACTTCCTCCCTCTGATTTCAATCCCTCCAAGAGAGCTACAAGCACTTGCTTCTTTGGGAACCCAGCTTCAGCAAGCCCCGAACACCCTACATCTTTCCTCCATAGAGATTTTGTTTCCAGGCTGTAGCCTGCTGAGGCCGGGGCAGACAGAAAATGCCCTTTGTGTAGTGTACCCAGCTGGCACCTTCTACAGCCTGCATTGCTCTGCCCAGCGCTCCAGCTGGGGCAGCTCTCACTGTGAAGTAGAAACCACACTGCTCTATTTTCAGGAGCTGGCTTCTCGTCAGGCAGAGGTACATGAGAGCACTAAAAGTAACACACAGCCATCTCACCATTGCCTGTCTACAGGTTCTGCATCTGCCTCTTTTATTGAGTGCTTTATGTACTGCTCAACCAGGTGTAACTTGTCTTTCATTTGGATTATTTACAGACAGATTTTGGTATATTTATTGATGACGCCTCTAAAAGTTCTTTTTTTTTCTTGGATTAAATGATATTTTTCTCTCCAAAGGAACCTTGGACATTTTCGCCTTTAATTTCCTTCTGAGTCAATAGAATTTCTGACTTTTGCTTAATACATTGGCAGCTTTAAGAATTTTCCCTTTTAATGGTAATGAGAAGTCAAAATGTTTCCTTCTAATAATTTGATTAAGTGTTTCAGTTAGATTTTTCTAAAGAGTAAATTGGGGCTAAACAGTGTGAACTTTTGTTGACATTTAATTTTGATTCGTTCACTCAATTTTGTTAAGTAAAATTTCCCTTTTAGTTTATGGACTTACTTTTAAATCCTATGGAAAAATAATTAGCATTGGAATTCTCTGCTAAATTTCATAAAAATCATGCTTGCATTCCTAACGTGTGTCTTCACTCACAGAATGGCTATATAGGGTAATCTGAATATATCCAAGCCATTTAGATCCAGTTTTTACATAAGTCCAGTTTTATCATGTTTATGTATCTATTCTCAAACTGTATACCCACCATGTGCACCCATGAAACTAATTTTCAAAACATTGAAGATTTTTGTAAATTTTTAAATTAATTTTATTGGTACATTTAATGCATACAGTGTAATGACATTCATCGTTGGAAATTTGTACCTTTACATAATCAATCTTGCTTCTTATTGTTTCCTCATTCCCTTCCTCCCTGTCTACAAGGGCTTTTGTTTCCATTATTTTTCATTTTCTCATATTAATCCATTCCCTTCTTGCTTTTCCCCAACTCCTCTGTAAATTTTTTAATAGAAGACTTATTAGGAATCAAAGAACTTAAATTGCAACAAAGCTATCTAAAACTACCATGATTATTATAATTTTATGTGTTTACAGTTAATTTTGATTTAATTATGTATTTTCAACCTTTTTTGTACCTATTTCTTCTGCCTGAAAGACAAATTTAGGATTTCTGATAGTGAGCTAGTGGTAAACTCCACCATGTAAAACTTACCCTTATGCCAAGTCTGGTGGCACACCCCTGTAACCCCAGCACTTGGGAAGCTGAGGCAGAAGGATTTCTGTGAGTTCAAGGTGAGTCTGGGCTACATAGCAAGACCCCGTCTCGAAACATTTTTTCCCTCTTTTACTCCAATATGAGAAAGATAGGTTAGCTAGCGACTATATTCGTTTAGATGCTCGATGTGGCAATGTTTTCTGGCTTCCACTGTCACTGCTGAGGCGTGAGCTGTTCCTCTTTCCCCTGACTGCTGGTAGGAGCTTTGCTCTGTCCATTTGACTGCCTTGGTGATTTCTGTTCTCGTCCCCTTTCTTATTTGGGCTACGGTGGCTTGTGCATGCTCAATTCCTCTCCTTACGACATCCTGAGGGAGCAAAAGCCCATCCATTTCCCATGGTGGGACGGCAGGGGAGATCACGTGATGTCAACGCACTCATTCATTCTAGGGGTGTGGTTCCATGCGTTGACTGAAAATGATTTTCTGAGTTTTGCCTCAGTTAAAAGCCTCTTCCCAGTGTAAAACTTATACATCTACTTCTAAAAAGTTAAACAAATTTTCCTTATCCTTTCCAAACAAAATGATAATAATGCTTATGACATAAAAAGCTTGATGAGATGTATATAAATTAATCGCCAGTAGACATTGTCCTTTCCTTGAACTTTGCTAGGGTTTGAAGGAGAGAGACACTTGACCAATATGCTTGGTGCTTTGCAGAACAATGGCAGCCTTAGAAAGTCTTCACCCTGGCACTGACAGACCTAGGTGTGGCCGCACCCACAGAAACTTTACCTTGGCACCATTTCTCCACCCTGGGCAGAGGCCACAGAAAGCTCAGCCACGCCTGTGCTGAGATCTTCTGTGGCAGGTGCAGGATAATGGCCCCACTATCAGGAGGCAGCTGCTTAGCCAAATCAGGGTGAAACCAAAAGCCAAAGTCCCAACCCCAGCAGTGCCGTGTGGGTGGAAGGAGGGCCGTCTCCCTGAGGGTCAGGCGGATGCAGTGTTCAGACCAAGCCCAGACTGTGCTCCCCACTGTGCTTGGAAAATAAAACTTCCCCAGTTAAATCAGCTGGGGATAATGAAAAGGTCACCGGATCCCCAGGCAGATCTGAACCTCACAGCCACATAACCACCATTCTTTTTTTTTAATAAAATACTTGACATATAAACAAAATAGAACACCTAAGCTGAAGATACAGAATAGCAGGAAAATAGATGGCCTCATGCCCAGTTTCCAACCAAGGGAATGGACTACTGCTAAAATCTTTGCAACCTCCTTGCTCTTCTTTTCTGCTTTACTCCCCCAAAACATTCTAGGCTTTCAGTGGTTTCCTTGTAAAGTTTAAGGATATTCCCTACTATCCTCAATTATCTCGTTTTTAGTTGACTGTTTTAATCATGAATGGACTTCTTTTAAACATCTATTGAAATTATTTTACAACAAAAATGTTGAAATGATCATTTAACTTCTCTTTCAACACGTTAAGTTGACTAAAATGATGAGTAATTGTTGGTCATTTCTTTTTCAATAAAATGTTGCATATAATGCGTAGCATTCTAGGTGGGAACAGAGCAACAAAAGGGAAAGAGCCAAAAGTAGGGCCCAGAGAGAAATCTAGCAGTGAGGCACGGCCACCTCTGAGAGGAGAGTCAGTGCCACACCTAAGGAGCATTTGGGAACCTTGAGGTTGAAGGAAGACGAGACACTGGACCGGGGGTGGCTGCAAGAAGATGGAGATGAGAGGGAGAGATGAGGGGCCAGAAAGCAGTGCGAGAGCAGAAGAGGGGAATGGACGGTAGGAAGGCCTCTTCCAAAGATGTCTCCTGTCCCTCAAGCAAAACTACAGACAGGAGTCTGGGTGAACTAAACATGTACCAGGTTACAGAAGTCAGATGAGCCCCATTATGTGAGAAGAAGAAAGAACAGCCTTTCAAAGTTAATGGAAAGAAATTGAGTCCGAATATAAGAGCGTGACCTGCGCTGTACGAGTTAATAACCCTGTGGAGTCTATTACTTCTGTGCTTTACACAAATTCTCAGTGAGCTGCAGGACTCACAGATGAAGCTCAGAAATAAACTGCAGCTGACCTGGGGGCAGTCCCTGGCAAGGGCCACATCGACCCCCCGGCCCCGACTGACTACAGCGACCTTCACGTAGGCGTTGGTGGATTTCGTTTCCTTCTTTGTGAAGCACTGATAGAGGAGATTTTCTCTGCTTTTCCTTCCTCCACTTCCCACATTCTCACATATTATGTTTGCTGAAAATATTAGTTTTTTTTGGAGATGGCCTGATTTCTTTTTGTTGTTGTTGTTGTTATTGCGATGGAGAAAAGCAAAGTGCCATAAATAGAAAAGGCCAGCATATGGAATAGATTAAAGGTTATGCAAGGGCCAGTGCAGGGACCAGAGAAGGGAACATTCCATCTGGGTCTTCTGCTACTTCCATTCTGGTCCCCACACAGATCAGACTGAGGAAGCAGCCCCAGGAGAGCAGCAGGGCCCGTGCACATGGAACCAATTGCTGTTTTTGCTTCTAGTAAAGTTCACATTTTGATTGCTTTTCCAGATTATGTAGACCCAGACATATTTTATGCAGTCATCCGGATCTTCCTCTCTGGGTAAGTTCAACTGCTTTCCTGCATGAGGCTTCTGTAGCATTTTCCAAATTTATGAGAGGAGAAACGGACAGAAACTTCCTAAAGTATGAAACACACCAAGTAACCTTTGCTAGCAAAATAATTACCCGGATCCAATGTTGGATACAAGAGGGCCGCCATCTGCATGGCAAATGACATTAAGGGCTGACTGTTTAAATCCTGAGGGTCTTGAGGCCATCATATTAGAGCCGCTTGTACTCAGGGTTATTAGACTCCCACTTTGGTGACAGGCCACTATGCCACCCACGGAGCTCTGGCACCCGTGTCCATTCTCTTCCCTTGTTATTTAGGCCAGTGGAGGGCGAAGGGCAGTGTAGATATATTCTTTCAGAATTCCCGATGAGCCACTTGCTATGGTTTGAATGCATTGTCCCTCCCAAATCAGAGGCTGGAATGGAATCACTGAGCTGCTCCTGTTAGAAGATGGGGCTTTGAGAAGTGATTATGTCATGATTTCACTGTGCTTATAGAAGGCCTGAGAGGGCTGGGGATGTGACTCAAAAGCACAACGCTTTCCTAGCAAGTGTGAGGTCCTGGATCTGATCTCCAGGACTGAAAAAAAGTGCGGAAGAGAAAAAATTTGGTCTTCTTTTTGCCTGTTTCGCCTTCTACCCGTTGTTCCCACGAGGACACAGCACCGGAGGAGCTATCCATCAGCAGCTGCTGGGTCCTCACCACACTCAACCTGCTAATGCCTTGGTCTTGGACTTCTGGGTCCCAGAACTGTGGGGAGAGAATTTCTATTACTCAGAAAACACCTGGTCTCTGGAATTTTGGTGTGGTATCCAGGACAAACTACATCACTACCGCAGACAATTTTTAAATATTTCTGGGGTACTGTTCTCCTATCCCATAACTAAAAATTCTAGATAGAAAATTTTACTATACCTCTAGAAGACACATTTCTTGTCCAAAACACATGAGTCAGTAATATCTTGATATTTTTAAATCATATTGCCTTTCTATTGACATTAACTGAGAAAGATTAAGTGATTGTATAAAATAGTGTTTAAATGGCAGGGAAAATTTCAGGCAGTGAGCGGACAGTGTGACGTAGGTATGATCTAATATGATGTGCTGGTGACTAGGAGACACCTGAAGAAACACCATTGGGAGGGGCCTGACCTGGTGCCTAGAGACAGCAAGATGCTCAGGAAATGCTGAAATCTGCTGCTGATATATGACGCTGCTGTAAAAATGAAGTAGAAACACACGCAAAATATTCTCTCTGGATTAGGTAGATCTTTAAATGGAGCTCAGTTGGGGCAGGGAACCTTCAGGGTAGGGTTCAGAGAGTGAAAGCAGGAAGGTTTCCTGAGTAACCTGTGAGTAATGAGAATGTGACTTATGTAAGAAAAAGAAAACAAGACGAGGGATGTTGTGGCTTGCAAATGAAGAAGGTCCCCCAAAAGACATCTTAAGGCTTGGTTACCGGCCTGTGGGGCTGTTGGGAGGTGGAGGAACCTTTGGAAGGTGGGGGAACCTTAAGAGCTAGGGCGTGTGAGAGGAAGTGTGGTTATTAGGGAGGTACCCTCCAAGGGAATATAGCACCTCTTCCCCTCCTTTTTGCTTTGCTTCCTGGCTTCCTTGAGGTGAGCATCTGTTCCACCACAAAAAAAAGTCACTTTCTTGAGATTAGGGGCTGAAACTTCTGCAGCTATGAGCCAAAACTGACCATTTATTCCCATAAGCTGATTATCTCTGGTAATTTTTACAGTGATAGGAAGGAGACCATCACAGGTGGGAAGTGTGCACAACAGAGAAGAGAGTGTCTCAGAATTTAGGCTTTCCCTTGTATGCCTTTGGCGGGATTAGGTATAAGAAAAACAAAGACTTTTTTTTTTTTTTTAAAGTTTATTGGCCCATGCAGGAAATTTACACTAAATACAGAAATTGACTAGGATTTAGGAAGCACGTAATCCTGGAAAATCCCTTTGTGTTCCATTCTGGTCTCAAAATATGAATTTGTTTTCCATGGTTGCATAACAATTACCACAGACCTAGTGGCTTTAAACAATGTGTGTTTCTTATCTCCCAGCTCGGCTGGTCTGAATTCCAGGCTAACGTCTCAGTTCTAGAGTTCTCTGCGTAGGATCTCAGAAGGCTATGTTTTGGGCTGGGCTTCTCACTGAGGATCTGGACAGAGATTTGCTTCCAAACTCATTGAGCTCACTGCCAGAATCCAATGTTTGGTCCTGAAACTGATGCTTCCGTTTCCTTGCAGACCATCAGGCAGGATCTGCTCTCATCTCAGCTTCTAGAGGCATCCTGTACCTCTGATGTGCCTCACTCCATCTCAACAATGGCACCGTGAAGCCTCCTAGCACTTTGAATCTTCTTGACTTCCTTCTTCTGCTTGCCAGCAAAAGCCCTCTGCTTTCATAGGTCCTGTGTGATGAGATTCGGCTCACCTAAATAATGCACTGCAACTCCCTACATTAAGGTCAACTGATCTGTGACCTTAATTTCACCTGTGAAGTCCGTTTTCCCTTGCCTTATATCACACTGACAGTGTCAGCTCGTGCTACTAACCACCCCAGGAATTAGGGTAGGAATCTTGGGGAACCATTTTTAGAATTTTGCCCACCGCAATGCCTTTCAAGGACATAAATTAATTCTACTACGTTTTTATGTCAAAGGTATCTGATAAGGATGAACTACATATTCTGAAATCCTCATGATTCAATGCATACCAGCAGCAACTTTGCTTTCATCAAAATAAGTTCAGGGTCAGTGATGCATTTTATCTGTAATCTACATAAATGCCCGCCTCATTTCAAATCCTTAAAATAGTCCTCTACTGCTAAGTGGCCAGTACTGAATCCTAAATGTGTTGATAAATATAAATGGTCAAAAACTCTGGATGGTTGAGAATTCCCGATAGGGTCTTCTTGAAAAAATGCACACTGGCTCTTTTGTCCATGAGTTGTCCTGTGCTTATTAACTTTTTGTATAGCTTCTTTAAATACATTTGATGTAGGAGAGTTGAGAGATTTTTATCTATAAATGAAACATTCTTTTCATCTGTACTCACATCAGATTTTTAGAAAAGTTATCAGCCCCCATGTCATCTCATACTTTTTTTCTGTTTAAACTTCTCCTTTTCATGGAATTTCTTGAATTACACCAAGAAAAATGTCTGAAAGTAACCTTGACCACAGAGATTCAAAAGGAGAGCAGTTCCTGTCTGTTATGAGCAGTGCTTTCAGCCTGTGAGTGCCTGGGAGTAATTCTGGGGCCACTCAGAGGAATCCAACTTCCCCTCCACAGACTTGTCTCAGGCTAGCTGGAGAAGAGAGATTTTGGAAGTAGATGCACTTTTACTTTTTTGGACTTCCATGAGAGTGTTTCCTGTCACCTGCAGGGTGGTCCAACACGGTCTCTCCTGTTTGTGGCACTAAAAGGAGACGAGTTAATGGATCTTGGCAATTTGAGATGCCTGCCAGCCCCTTTCAGGAAGTACATTTGTGTTTAATATTCCAGGTATACTGTGCAGACTTATCGAATGCTTTTTATCCTTCATCCATTCATCAAATATTTAGTGAGTGCTTACTGTGTGCCAGGCGCAGTGGTTGTTCAGGGAATGGAGCAGTGAAATGAAACAGTTTGGTCTGTGGAGTTTATGACTCAGAAATGAGGAGCAGATGATGAATAAATAAACAGGTTTAATAAAATGGCATCATACAATATGTATTATAACAACAGGCGATATGGGAACATGTAAACCAGGATAAGGGCATTAGGGAGGGGGTGTGAGGTGCAGTGGTGGACATTTTTCAGTATTCCTTGTTTTCTGGCACTGCCACAATGTGACATGTGAGCGGATACTGGAGGAACCAAGAGTCAGTCACCTAGATTCCCGTCCCAAGCACAAGGAAAGGCAGTGGCGATGTCCTTGGCTGGGAGCACGCTTATCCCGAGGGCAGAGCTGCGAGGTTGCACCGGGGCCGGGGGGTTGTGGAGAAGGGAAGACTCGAGGTGAAGACCGGATCTTGCACTGATGTATTTGACTCCTTCAGAGGGACAACATGTAAAGTGACGAGAAAAATAAGGACAGGATCTGTCTTTAGTTTCAAATCATCACTGTATTTGTGGAGTAGAAAATAGACTATTTGAGGACACGGGTGGGAAAGAGGAAAGGGTTTGAGAAGCCACTGTCGTCATTCATGTCGGTGGCTGGAACGAGAGTGGCAGTGGTATTGAGAAACGGTCATATTCTGCCCTGCAAGATAGGAAGGCAGAGACAGAGATACTTGTTTGTTTTTGTATTGGGGATCGAATTCGGGTCCTTGCATTTGCAAGGCAGACAGTGGAACCACTGAGCTAAGTCCCTGGCTAGAGATACATGTTAATGTTGACTGAATTTGCTATTTGGGTCACACATGGAATTGAAGATAAAGAGATCACTCAAAATGGCCAAGGTTTTTTGGCCCGATGCACTGAAAGAATTCAGTTTGTGATTTATTCAGGTGGGAAGATCCCAGAAGAAACATGTTTTTGAGGGGAGAGGAGTTTGACGAGTCCGTTTGGGGAATATCCACTCTATAAGTCTGCCAAATGGGTGCTTGGATGGCTGAGTTGAAGGTGTAGGGGAGAAGTACAGTTCTACGTGTAAATTTGGTGTAAATCTGTAAATACAATAGTGTTAGTGTTTCTTAAGAGACTTGGGAAATCAGAGTAGTGAGGAGTCCACGATTGACCTGGGAGAGTCCAACATTCAGCAGTGGCCCACACTGGGAAGGAAGTAGTGAAAGAGATCAAAATGATCCTAGAGCATCCTCAGATCACCGAGAATCACCCAGGCAAGGGTGCCTGTGTGTTGGGCTCGTTCACAAGTGAGCACGTTGCAGCCGTGGCTTCATTTCTTCCCCATAAAATGTTGCTCAGCAGTTGTTAGACCAAGGTCCTGGCATTTGAGAAGTGATAAGAACTTTCTGTTTAATTCTCCTAACAATTACAGGAAGCTGATAAACACTGGAGGAACGGGGACCAGTGGGATTTGTACACAGTTACCAAACAGTGAGTGCGAAAGCAAAGATCCCATCTCACTGTGAATAATACCACAAGAATGTCTGATGGTTCTGTAAGGCTCACAACCTTCCAGGCACTGGACAAGTATTATTTTAATCAGTTTGCATGATGACCTAATACTAATACTAGCTATGGAAAACTAGATACTAATATTACTCAGACGGGGAAACGGGCACAGAAATGTTGATTCAGCTAAGGTACATAGTTAACAAATGGCAAAGTTAAGGTTAAATTTGACAGCTCCCTAGAATAGAGTCCTCTGTCCTAATAGGACAGGCTGTATGTGTGGTATGACCTTGCTCTTGAACAAAGTGACTTTTAGAATTATAGGGAGGAGGCAAAAAAGTCCATGTACAAATAAATCTGTAAGGTTAACTGTCCATATAAGGAAGGTAGCTTATTCTTAGCAATAGGAAAAAAAGGATTCCTTTTCCTAGTAAAAATAGAAATTTATACAATGGGGTTCTTAGGGAAACGAAATTGGAAAATAGAGGGTTACAAGTGTGGAGTTCAAGTTCTGGTTCCGTCGCTCTTTAATAATGTGATCCTGGAAACTTCATTCTTTTGAGTCTTTGTTTCTTCACCTATAAAATGAGGTTAGAAAATATCTGCAGTGCTCCACTCACAGAAGGTCCAATGGGAAAATGACCAGAAAGGTGCTTTACGAGCGGGAAAGCTTGCAGCACAAATGCAACAGACTCTTGTTAATTCCTGCCAGTCCTGTGGAATCTCCACGCACACTCGCAACTACCCAGGACTCTGACAACTAGATGTCGGGAAAGACTGAGACGCAAGGAGGCAGGGAGAGGGGACGCAGAGAAAACAAGAGAGGAGAGCGAGGTGCAGGGGAGGAAAGGCTACCTCGCCCAGGCCTGGTCCTGCACTGCGACTCTGACTTGGGCCTCTGGTAGGCTGCAGGGCAGGGCTGTGCTCTCCTCGCTGCGCCCCTAGTTATCAGCAGCTGTGATAGCAGAGCATGTGAGGAAAGCGTTCTCAGGACAGCAGGTAATATCTAGGTCTGAGAGCGTCACCCAGCAACTCCTAACCGTAATCGTTCTGGGGCAAGCAAAGAACTGTGTGTGTGTGTACTGGTGACACTATTTGTAGAGTTGCAAACATGAAATCATTGAGATTGAACTTAGCAGAGGAACTGAAGAATTTTCCAGGGCCACTAAATTGTTTTGCTGATCAGCACTGATCATAACTCAGCTTTCTCGATAAATATGTCCAAGATTCCTCGCTAAATAGCCTTTGTTTTTCTGGAAGAACCTTTACATGGGGGAGAGGAAGACTGCAGTTTTATGGCCTGTTGTGACGGTGACGTCGAGGCGATGTTTCTGTTCTCACCTTACAAACATATCCAATCCTTTGTCCTGAGATGTGGGTCCCCTCCTTGTTTCCACATGGGAAATCACATCATTACTCCTAACGCCTGCTTCTTCCCTCTGGCCTCTGTTCCCGCACAGGTGGAGCGGTAACCCAGTGATGCCCGGGGGCCTGGTATATGAGGGGGCCTCCACCGAGCCCCTCAAGTACGCTGGAGGGAGCGCTGCTCAGAGCACAGTGTTTCATGCCTTTGACGCGTTCCTGGGCGTTCGGCATAGTGAGGAAAGCGGTGAGCCAGAAATGCTTTTTCTTTCTGGAGAGTTAAGTGAGGGAAAACAGAGGTGTTCTTATCCACTCGATGAAGCCAAGTATAAATTAAAATGTCATGAAGTCTATAGTTTCCCAGATTAACCACAAAGCTGCCTGCCATCTGTTATTTTGTCAAATCAATTAATATTGGAGTATCACATCTCAGCAGGATCTTGGGTTTCATTTCAAAATCTTCAAACATTGCTATGATTCCAGCTGTTCTTTGTAATTTTGGTTTGGATCCTTAAGCGATCGCTTTCTATTTCTGAAAGGGAGGAGAGAGCTAGCTTTTTAAGCTATCTTATTTCATGGCCTGTTAAGGGTCTGAACCCGTCCCCTGAAATGGCAGTTTCCGGCTAACTCGGTCTGAACAGGAAGTGGGGGGACTATCATTTCAGTCTTGAAATCACTCATTTCCTTCCATGCCAGCATCAAGCTACATGCTTAACAGTTGCAAAAGGGAACTTCTTACTATAAAGTTTTCAACTTGGGTTAGAAAAAAATAACTAGAACTTAGTAACATGGAGTCTAGTCTCACTCATAAAAGTTCTTGAGACCTGTGATAATTTTTCATGGCTTTTAGCGTTTGGAGATATTATTCATTGATTTGCTACATATATTCAATATGGAATTAATCACCTAAAGTATCCATTGATTTTATTTTATTTTTTCAGTGCTGAGGATTGAACCTATGTTGTTGCTCATGCCAGGCAAGGGTTTTACTTGATTTTCAAACAATTTAGCTTCAAGTTAAGTTATTCTTAACTCATTCTTTATCGTTCTGTCTATATATTTTTTCTTACTTAGCATTTCCTTCAGGAAAACAGAAAAGCACTTATGAAACAAAATTCTTCAGAGTATTTAGCTAATATCAGTTTAAGAGTCTGTATCCTACACTTCTAGTTAACTTTCGTAGTAGCTAGAAACTGGGTATGATAGAGCTTATTTTGACTCAGTTGAGGTGTGCTTACAGGTGTGCTGACTTGTTTTTCTGTTTCCTATCTCCTGTCTACAGTCAGAGATACACATTTAAGTGTTTGATGTCTACAAGCCAGAGAGCCAAGCAATCGATCGAGTTAGGGCCCCACCCACAGTTTCTGGTGTCCGGAGAGCAGGCAGGCTCTGCTGTGTTCTGGGCGTATCTAAGATGTTCCCATGGTCGGTCTCTTTCAGCTGACTTTCTGTACAGAATGAGGGACTACATGCCTCCCTCACATAAGGCCTTCATAGAGGAAATCCACTCAGGTCCTTCGCTGAGGGACCACGTCCGGGCCCCTGGCCACGCCCGCTGTCTGCAAGCTTATAACCTGTGTCTGGAGGCCCTGGTGGAGCTGCGTAGTTACCACATCACCATGGTGACCAAGTACCTCATCACAGCTGCAGCCAGAGCCAGGAGCAGGGGCCCAAGCCATCTCCCAGGAGGCCCCCGGGCTTTGGAAAACAGAGGCACTGGTGGGTCTATGGTTCTGAGCTTTTTGAAGAGTGTCAGGGATCAGACCCGTGAGGCCATCCTCCACCCCAGGGGCCAAGGGGTCACCTTCTCCCCAGCAGAGCAGAGCCCCCAGGCGGGGCGATGACTGGGAAAAGGAGGGTCAGGGTCAGAACTGTGGTCCTGAGACCAGAGCCTGTGTGTGTCCTACCCCATCGCTTCGAGGCAGCCGACAGTGGTGGATACCTCCCTGTTCAGAACACTGCAAAGTAGCTGAAGCCCATTCCCTGTTCCAGGTAAGAGAAAACGATCTAAACTGTAAAAACTAAAAAAAACCGACCATGGACAGATTACCCTGTTGATGTTTTTGAAGGACAGAGTCACTTTACCAAGTTGCTCAAGGATTAAACAGGGCTCTCTTCAACTCCAGCCCAGCTCTGTTTCCCCGCAAGTACTGAATTTGGTGGCAGGAAGTGGGGGTGCACTATGGAGATGTGCAGAGAAGAGCATATCGACAAGAAAAACTTGGAAGTCACAGTGAGAAAATGAATAGTTATGATACAGGGACCCAGGAGACTTTCCCATGTGTTACATAGTTTTGCTCATTCTATTTTAATTCCCTTCTTTATTTTTAGAAGAATGCTTTGTTCTCCGTACACTGAAGGTCTGTACTTGTTAAATGAATTAATTGACCCCTTGAACGTAAATGAGCCAAGTAGGAATATACAGTAAATTCACATGGTTAAGGGTGCAAATAAATGTGACTTTTTATCATCTTGGTTTTCTATCTCAAAATCTCATTCCACCAATAGTAAGAAAACCAGACTTTAATCTTGCTAATTTATAGTAAGCGACATTAATTTCAGACCCCCCGCCCTTTGTGCACAGAGCAGACCTGGGGTTGTAGCTAACGTCCAGGAGGTGGCACAGGGGACATACACACGGTTATGGGGGTCCCCTCCTCTTGGAGTCCCCTCCCCGTGGAAACTCTGTGAAGTGGATCTGGTGGTGTGTCTTGTCCAGGATAAAAGACCTCTCAGATTCTTCAAGCCTCAAAATCCTATTATACGAGTAGAAAACCACTGGCTTCCCCTTCAGCATATTTGGAGACTGTGACACTAGCTCAGGATATCTGCTCAGCACTGGCCCCAGCTGATATAGGGCATGTGATCTATGGAGCTCCAAATCATATAAGGGAAATATTGTAACTCCCAACCTACTAGATGTCCGAAGCACAGAGTTCACGTTCTCTAAACCTGAGGAATGAATTCTAGGAACAGCGGAGGTTAAGAGTAGGAAGAATTTATCGAGATAAGGATAGTTTCCGTCTAAGACAGAACGGGGACAGGAAAGTGGGCTGCCAGCCTGCTCTGTTTCTTACAGGTGTTTTATTGAGCAAAGCCAAGACAAAGTAAGGCATGTTCAAGGTGGGACGAAACTATAGTTACTTAGTAAGATTACAAGTACAGTCTAATATTGATCTGGCGGGAAATCATAAGGTAGGTACGAGGTATAAAAAGATTACAAGTATAGTCATTTAGGTAATATTGATTAAATAGAGATCAAATGGGGAAGCAGGTCACATAGCAAGTGTGCCTGGAATGAACAGGGTTTCTGGGAAGGGGTGGGTTAGGGACCTTTCCCAGAGGGACAGGTTAAGGTCTTGGTCACCTAGGAGAAGCACGTGGGTATAGTCAGTCCTCCTGTTTCTGAAGCTTGGCCTTCAGTGCATGAGCCTCAGGCCATAGCTGTCTTCTGGGCTGACTTACTCAAGGGCCTGGCCTCGATTTGTTCTCAAGGACTGGTTGTAACTCCAGTTGGTCAACTGAAGGGTCAGGCTCCTCTACACAGCCTTCAAAGTCTCTCTCCTATATAGAGGTAGATCTCAGTGTCCTTAGAGAAACATTTGCCCAGGTTTTCTCAATAAACACACAGAGGAAAGGATGCTGTTATGTTCCTTCAAGAACTCTTTAAGGATTAAATCTGTATCTGAGACCATCTGAAAGCACAAGCGGTTGGCATTTGGGTGGTGACTGAAGACTGTAAGTTAAAACTAAAATTCTGGTCATAACCCAAACCGTTCTTATATCAGGCCAGTCATAACTTGAGAGTCCACTGTCCAATGTGCCTATGGACTTGGCTCCATTCTCTAGCACTGGCCAGACAATTCTGGACCTTGTCCACTCTTGAGGCTTTTGGGGTAGGAGCACCTGAGTCAGGTTTTGTATTAAGTTGCTGGAGGGCCCCACCTTCTCCTATCTGCAGTGCTTGGTCCAGTGAAGATGGGGAAGGCAGGGTGTGACCAGAGAAACTTGCCAACGCTCCCCTCTGTGTCTGTTACCCTGTGACAGAGAACTTTGTGTAGTCCGGGTGCTGAGGGAAACTCTGGGTCCAATAGTGCTCTCTCCCGAGCATCAGCTCCAAAGACTGGCTGTCATAATTCGAAAAGCCTTTTCTTCCCATATACTGTTTCTGTCTCGAGCTTGAGAACTCTACCTTGAAGTTCAAAGTATGAGGACAGTATTTTATTTCCCTTTGATTTGCTCTGGGATCAGCCCACTCCACATGAAAATCTACCTTGAAGTTCAAAATATGAGGACAGCATTCTATTTCTTTTTGACCTGCTCTGAGATCAGCACACTCCACATGGCCATGTGTGGCTTGGGGAAAGAGGGGCTGGAGAGAGTTAGTCACATGGGTTAGTGATTCAGAGCTTTACTCTTCCTTGGTGTTTCCTGCAGACAACAGAATGAGCCCTTTAGAGGAAGACCTGGGCTTAAATTCCAGCTTCCCCTTGTTCTAAACAATGTAACCTTTAATCAGTTTCAGAAGGCCACCAGTCCTGTTTCCAATTTCTTATAAAAGCAAGTTGATAAGATGGGTTTCTGGGTGGATATAGAGAAAGAAAGGGGTAGTACCTATAGCAAAGGGGAAAAAAAATCAATGAAATTTTCCTTGGCTGTGAAACAGGGCTCAGAGCATGGTACAGACGGCAGTTGGGAAGAAAAGACTGCATCCTTTAGACACTGGAACCACAGTCTGCAGAGCCCCAAAGTCACCCTTTGTCACGTGAGGATGCTAGAGAGTCAGAAAAATCATGGGCTCCAGGAGTTGCAATAGCTGTTTGTATTCCAGCACTGGCAGATTTTACACTGGCAGACACATTGTTTAACCACAGACACTTCATAATTACTGTTTGGAGCCCAATAAATCTATCACAAGTAGGAAATACATTTGCTGTACCCAACCTATTAAACATCACACGCCAGCAGCACCAGCCACTGCAGGCAGCCTTCTGTGAGCCTGGTGGTCTTGGGGCTCTGCCTAGTGCTGCGAGAGGATCCTGTTCTGTGCTGCTGACTGCAGTCAAAACTCGGAATGCAAGGCCTAGTTTCCACGGAGGAATATTGCTTTCACATCACTATAGAATCCGAAGTCTAAGATGGGGCCATCCTTGCATGTTGGGATGACCAACTGGTGATTACAGTGCTAGCATTTGCTTGGCTTTGTCCTGACGTCTTCCTACCAGACAGCAGAGTGATTGGAAGTGGGTGTTGGCTTCCTCATGCACAGTGAAGAAAAGGGATAATGTGAGTCCAAAACAAGCCACAACATGAAACAGAATCGAGGCTTTTCTCGAAGTCCTGAAGGTGCACCCAGGGACAGTGAGAAGGAAGTCTTCCTGGGAATGTAAAGGAAAACATCTCAGTCTCTTCCATCCCCAGCCTTAGCGAGGCCTGGACAGGGTGCTGCTGTCCATCCCTCGGAGTGACAGAACTAACCAAGAGCCAGCTTTACCGGTGTCCTTTCCATGGATCCAGCCCCCTCACAGACCACAGGGTTGGACCCCAAGTTTTCAGTCAATGTTGAATGCATGGAGAGCCAGATTAAACAGTGGGAAGAGGATTATAAAAGTTCCATCTTTCAAAATGAACAGATAATGTTTTGTTTGTTGCCATTAAGCCTTTTGTAAAGGATGCAACAAATACAAATAAAAGTCCTTACTGTCTCCGTTAACAAGTAGCAATGAACCAATGAACCTAGTTTCTGTACCGACGATGATTGCTAGGGGCAGGGTTCCATTTTCAGCCTAGGGTACAGGGATGAAAGCAAATCTTCGGGTATAGAAAAGCACATTATTTCGTCAAGAATTTTAGAGACAAAGGGTATGCGTATCAGTGACAAATGACCAAGAGTAGAAATGCTGTGTTACATGTGAGGGAGCAGCATGAGCCGGAGGAGGTGACGGGGGACCTCAGGGCAGTGCTGCGTCTCCCACGAATGAGTTCCCCACAGTGGGAGCTGTTCTGCTGTGCGACATCTCTAAGTCTCTGCAGTCACACTGGAACGTGTGGGGACCATAGCTGCGCTGCTGGGTTTCTGCGCAAAGTGAAACAAGCACGCATTTGTGACACGGATGGATTTGAGTGACTCCAGGATGGACACTCATCGAGGGTGTGGAAGATGCTGCCATGGGATGACACATGCATCCAGATGTAACCAAGAGAAACTGTAGTCTCCAACACATCACAGCTTCTCAGGACGTAAGAGACACAGTGACGCCCAGACGGGAGGGTCTGGAAGGGAGGTGTGCACGTTCTTGCTTCCAGGAAAATGATGTCCTTCAAGATACTTATTGCCAGGGCCTCAATGGAGGCAAGGGGACAAAATGCATGTTTTTTTCACACCTGAGTGAGGTTGCATTTTGATTACAAAAGTTTAGTCTAACTATACAGAAGAGGTACTACTTTTGTGCTTGATGGTAAGGTTCATCGAATTTATGCTCTCTTGAGATTACCTCATTTGAGCTTCTATGAGTCAGTTTTGCAGAAAATGGAAAGAGTAGAGAGATGGGAGGGAAGAGAGAAACAGACAGAAACAGGCAGAGAGAAGTCAAGAAAGCTGGCAGTGCAGGCCAAGTCTGGAGGCTGCTGGCAGAGTTCCTAGCTCCTTCTTGCTCAGGAGAGGGAAGTCCTTGTTCTCTTCCAGCAAGAGGCCCATCCACGTGATGGAGGGCAGTCTCTTTTCTTCAAAGTCAGTTTAAACATTAGTGTTGTCCAGAAAGAGCCCACCATTACAGACACACGCAGGATGTGCTGGGCGCCATGGCCCGCAAAGGTGACATAGGCTGACCAACACAAGGCAGTCAGTGTCAGCCTCCTGGTGCTAAGGACCCAGCCTAGGGCCTTGTTCCTGCTGAGCAAGCACTCTGCCCTGGAGCCACACACCCAGACTGGAGGAATATTGTTTCTGAACAAAAATGAGGTTGGCAGGGTAGGGTGAGCCCTCACCTGTGGAGGGAAGACAGGGTCTTAAAGGCCACACCTGTGCACAGGTCCACTGTCACCTCTGTGGCCACCGTGCTCTCCACCACCAGCGTGAAGAGACCCTCAGTGTTCTGCAGGTCGTGCCAAAGTGCAGCGAGACTGCATTTGGTAATGTCAAGGAGAACTCCTAGGGTGATTTTAAAAACAAGCACACACACAAACATTAAAGAAATAGTAGCCAGATAGCATGGCAACTTGTAGTGTGTAACTGTGGGGCTCAAAGACCACGCCCCCTGACGCTGGCCTAACTCTGGCTGGGCGCACTTGGAAGTGGGACACAAAAGCCACTCACCTTACAGAGTGTGAAGCCAAGAAGGTGAGACTCACACACACCCAAAATGAGCTCCTCTCCCTTAGGGTTAGTCTGAAATCTACTTCTTGTTGTCTCTAAACCAGGACTAAAACCAGGAGAGAGAGGGAGGGAGAGAGAGAGAGAGAGAGAGGAGAGGGAGGAAGGAGGGAGGAGAATTTCTTAAAATCCGGAGATTTTTCAATTTAAGATCTAGAATACAAACTTTTTTTTTCCTTTTTCCTGGTCCTGCCGCACTGGCTGTGAACTCACAGTGATCCTCCTGCCTCAGCTTCCTGTGTGCTTCGGTTACAGGTGTGCACCACCAGGCCAGGTTGGCGTATAAAACTTTCCATACCTTCCACACAATGCATCTCAGCCCTGACTTTGGTGTTCAGTCTCTTGCACACAGATGTTCTGTTTGCTGTGCTAATGGAAGAAATACTCTTCCTTTTCCCCGCTCACTTAACAGTAAACTTAATAAAGAAGTCGGATATGATTGCTCTCTGAAATGCAATTGCCAGTTAATTTTTGCAGTTTAGCATCTGCTCCCCAGCAACATTTAAAAACTTAAATTCTTGAGTGTAAGCATCATCAAAAAATAAACAATTTTTTTGCAAAGTCATTTCCTTTGTAAATTCACAAATCTATCGGACTGCGTGCTTCTGTGGCAGCTGCAGGGACATCAAACCGATTTTTATTGTGCACTTATCTCTTAATTGTCCATAAATACTTCTCTTCCTTCTTAAAGGTGTCAGAGGCAGCACCTGTTCTCTGTTAGAAACCAAGAGCAGCGGGTTCCCAGATCCCGTGTGTCCCTGGCTGACGGTACTCTTCTCCCAAGAGAAGGCGATCTTGGGGCCACAGCGACTTCCCTTGGGATAACCAGCGTTTTAAAAGACCAACGGCATCATTATTATATCATTAAAATATGCAAAAATAAGCACCTATTGGAAGCTGTAGTCTGCTTTATCTTTCTGTTGCATAAATGTTTTCATTTAAAAATTTATCACGTGCTAATTAATTAATTAATGTGACAATTCATAGACTAATTCCATAAATAACGTGGTTTTCCTCATGCATTTAAAATTATCAAGATGGTTCGCAAAGCATCGTCACAATTTCGCAACATGTAAAATCTTCATTTCATGCTATCTCGATGCAGTGCTATGGTCCATCTGCAGGCAAAGGTACGGACAGACTGCCGCTGCTGGTGACCGTGACGCACGTAAGTGACATGTGCCACCTGGGGAACCAAGGGGAGATTCGGTTCTGAGAACCACAAATCAGTGGTCAGAGAGAAGGAAAGCAGCGACAGTGACGATGGGAAAGAGCCTGTCCGAGCCACATCCATTTGATCTAAAAGCAGTATCACTCTTCCACCTTACGGGGCGGGCGCCTTTACAGATTCCACGGCTTTTCTCTACTCTTCCGATGCAGGACTGGGATGGGCTCTGGAGTGCGGATGAAGGGCTTTCCAGGTTTCATCCCAGCTCTGCCCCGGCCAGTCGTGTCCCCGACTGCGGTGGACGAGCCCACCTCACCGCCCCACCTCCGAGGCTACGCCCTGGACGCCTGGAACCCTAGAATGCTTAGCACACATCACGTCAGGGAGCCTCCCGAGCCTGCGCGGTCCTCTGCCCTGGGTATGCGCTTAGTTCCACTTTGGTACGAATGCACAGTGACCGTGGGGGCAGGAGGAGGCGAACAGCCCTGGAGGCAGCCCCGGAGGCAGCACCGGGCAGGGACAGCGATGAGCGGCTGGGCCAGGGACAAAGCACCTCTGTGTCTCTGCGTTTGGCCTGGAATTCTAAGCAGTCTGCTAGTTTGTTTGATTAATTTGTCACGATGAAGATAATGTGACAGAGCATTGTTACTTAATGGTTTCTAGATTTATCCAGGTATGTGTAGGTTGGGACGTCCACGCCCGTCCCTCGGTGCCCAGACCGGGCCCTGGCTCTTTTCTTGCGTTGTCGCTGGGTGTAGGTTTGGCCAACGACCACCAGGGGGAGGTAGCAAGCCGCAATAATGGGCGCGAGTCACCAGGATTCTGACTCGGGGCTGAGGGCTTGTCCTGTTTTTCAGAAGTGAAACAGAGGGCTGGGAAAACCTGAAGAAGCTGTCTCCTGGGTCCTGCCTCCAGAAGGAAGCACATTAAATCAATCCAGATGGGTCTCTCTGGGCCCCAAAGCTTGCACAAGTGAATTGAACTAATAACATATTTCTGTGTTTTTTATTAAAAAGAAAAACACGATTTTTTAAAAAAATTGGGAAGGATTTCTTCATCCCATCTCTATGACCAGTGTTGTCTGAGGATCTTACTGTCAGAGACGCTTAACTGAGACAAACTGTGAAAAGATCAGCAACAGCACTGAGCACTGAAAGAAGACACAAAAATCATCCAACAGGAAAAGCCCAGTGACTGCCTTGGGTTGGAAGGGATTAGCTGGTCTTTTGTCTACAACAAAAGACAAATATTATCATTGAAACGAACCCTTTTTCTCTCCATTGCCCCTGTCTCACCCTAGTTTAGGGACTTGGTTTGCATGAAACAGTGTCAAAAGAGGCCGGAGATGCCCTGAACACGTGCCCACAGACGTCTCGTCAGAGCGTCTTGAATGGCAGCACAGAGGCATTGCAAAGACCAAGGCAACGTGATCGCTACCTAGCCTGCTTATTGTCACCAAGTCCCACCTTCTTTGAAAATAGAAAAACGCCATAAAATAAACGTTAAGTATGGATCGTCTTTCTTATCCACTCACATCCAATGACTAGTTAGGGTGCCGACCAGAATTACAAATTCTCATATGAATCCAACAACAACAGATCTAGACTAAACACAGTGCGCCCTCTACAACCACATACTAAAAATAAATTTGATGTTAGGGATCACAACAGGGTATGACGTTCACATGGATCTCCACTCCTAACAGCCTCCTTTGCTGTATCACTTGCTTGGGTACAAATTCCAGTTCCTCCATTTGACCCATTTGTAAATCACTGAGGGTCAATTTTAGGGTAATAACAATGCTGACATTATAGGTTTTGGTGGTAACACATGTAAAAATGTTACATGAATGTTTTCCTAGAGCAAATACTGCTGCTACTAGTGCTGTTATTAATTTCTATGGATTGTGAGGTACACAGATGAACAGCATGGAAGGAAAGCCTGCTTTCTTAAACCCAAGCCATAGAGATGTTGAAGAGTTACACGCACTTCTTTTCTCTCAATCTTCCTCTGAAAGAAAATTTTGGTCCAAGGATGGCAGAGAAAGGTCTTGGAAATACTGCTTTGTCATCTTTTCGGGGAAATATTTTCTAATACTGCTTGACCACTGTTGTGTTCTTCTCTAGTCCCGCTAAGTTCCAAGTAGTATAAATTATGGACTTTTAAAGTCAAACTGAAATCACGTCAGTTTTGTTGTAGGGCATTGCTGTTCTCTTTCAGAGAACTGGTGCTGCTAGGTCTGGGGTACAGCTCAGTGGTAGAGTACTTGCCTAGTATTGTGAGGACCAGGGCCTCTTATACACACACGTTCACACACACATACTACTGTAGATACTGTAGAATTTGAAAAGCCAGAGCTGGGATTCCAGATGTGGAGATTTATAAGTATACTGGCAAAAGGCAGCTAATTTTCTGGGTATAGGCACAATATCCTGTCGCCTGCCAGAATTAGCTGAATGGTACATGATCCAAATTTTGTGCTGCCAGTCCCCAGGGTGGTGACATTTCTCCAACCAAGCCAATGTTGTATTTTACATAACAAAGAAATTCCAAGGATAGTTTGTTTTTCTTTCGTGTTTTGAAATATCCTAGGATAGCGTTATGGCTTTATACTATAGCTAGTGACATGTGCAGATTTCTTCTTACCTCATGGTTTAAGAAGGTCACTGAAGCTCTGGCTTTCATACTCTGCTTTCTGGGCCGTGGGAAGAACAAGAGGGGAAAGCAACCTTTTCCTTTTGAAGAGACTTCTAAGAAGTGCCTTACATATCTTCACTTTCTGTTGGCTACATCTTAATCATTGTCAAATTCCTAGTTAGGAGGGAGAGCGTCAATGTGTTTAATAGAACAGGTACGCATGTAGCAAAAAGGCAACATTCTATTAAAATCAAAAGGAAGAAGTATGGGTTGGATGCAGCAAATCTTGGTTATGTTACATCTTTCTTATGTACTCCAATTTTCTTGGTGACCTTCCTGTTACTCAACACTTTCCTCAGAAGAAAATCTAAAGCTCACTCCATTGTATGAGAGATTGACAATGAATCACAGTACTACACAGCAAATCAGCCCTTTAATGGAGTGAAGGGCTAAATGTAGCCTACCAGTTGGCATTCCATTGCTGGGGCAAGATACCTACCATACTTTTAGCTCACAGTTTCAGAAGTTTCAGTCCATGGTCAGCCGGTTCCAAGGCAGAAGCATCATAGTGGGGTGGGGGCAAGAGTCAGAAGAAATGTTCTGCCCTCTCGAGAGCAGTGGAGGAGGGCCAGGGAGCAGATCGAGTCCCCAGTGTTACCCACCCATAACCCATTCCTCCACCTGCACTCTGCATACCATTGCTCGTTCAGCACACCGATGAAGTGTGTGCCCTCGCAAACCGCCTTCCAGAAGTCTCCCAATGCAGTCAGGTTGATGCAACGAACTGGCATGAGTCAGTGTGACTGAACCACGTATCTTTAAACCATACTTAATTTCCAAAGAAACTCAATAACACGATCATCATCCGGCTCAACGTGATAGGTTATCCGGATTACAATGGACAAAGGTACTAATTCATTCCCTATCGACCCGACATTTCCAGCATAGCTCAAAAGATCCAAGTCAACATTCCATTCTGAGACTCAAGGCTGTTGTGGGCTGTGAGGCCTCATAAAATTCAAAAAACAAACTGTATAATCATAAGGCCAGAAAGCACAGGATAAATGCTCCCATTCCTAAAGGGGACCAAAGCAAGACTGAAGTTCAGCAGTGGGAGCAGGGAGTCCTGCAGCTCCCGGTCCAGCACCTGGGGTGGGTGGTGGGGAGACGGTGAGGCTGCACACAGCTTGATCAGTGCCGCTCTGTAGCCTCCCTGTCGATCTGGCTCTGCTCCCTTCCTCCAACAGGTGCTCCACGTTCCGGCGTCTCCAGCTGCTTGGCTTCACTTTCACAGCTCCGGGCATCACACAGCTGGGGCCTCCCAGCACGAATTCCGACTCCCATTGCTGAGCCTCCCGGACCTTTCTTTGCAACCTAGGTGGGAACCACCATGAACCCCACCCTGGGCATGGTGGATGAGTTCAGAACCAGATCACTAGGTTACCTGTCCCTAGTGCGTTGCTCTCAGAGCATTCTTTCCAAGGAGTTGACACTTTTGCACCCTTAACCTTGAAAAGGTGAGTTTGCTGATTCTTGAGATAGTCTCTAGGCCTCTTTCTTCCTGTTCTAGTTCAAAGTAATAATCTCTGTGTTTTCCGGATGATTTCCTACAAATCCCTAAAGGCTCAACTGAGGTGTGAGCTCTAGGAGCCTCCTCCTGCCGCCCCTCTCCCCAGATGTGCTGCCTGTCACCCTTGCTTGCTACTGTGGTGATGTTTACCTGCTCCCGCCTGGTCTATACCCGTCCTCCTCCACTTAGCTCTCAGTCTCAGAGAGCGATGCCGGCATCCCCCGTGCCTTGATAGGTAGGATCTAACGGTTCTTGGGTGAAGGAAGATGAAATTAAGCTGAGAGAGTCCATTCGAGGCCGAGACAGCAGCATAAACACTTTACCAATGTCTGATGTAGGTGAGGCTAAGAACACCTTAACCCTCTGCCTTATAAAAGCCTACGTATAGACAGAGGATCTGCAACCTGGGATGATAACTCTGTGGGCCTTTCTATCAAACATTTTCATGCCAGAAATGTATTTAAATTTGTGTTAAAAGAGTTTTGAACCCCGAGACCTGGAGTAGAAGCAACAGGGATGGC